CAGACTTAACCTTTGCATTTCTATAATTAACTTTCCTCTTTTAGCTTACTTAGCATCTATCATTATCACAATTGTTGGATTACTGGCGCTGTTATTTGATTTAGAAAATATGGTTATATTTATAATATATGTTGCGTTCCTACATCCTATATTATCTGGATACTTTAGCATAGGAAAATGCTTCCAATACTTCTCTTTATGCAGCTCAGAAATGCCAGGATCTGAAGAGCTTCCCGTGAGAAATGATGCGCCAACCCCAGTGCTAACTCAATTCCGCGATGTGTGTGCGAAAGTGAGTTTTGAAAATGGTTAATGTGTACAGTAACTTTAATTTATAGTGGCAGATCTGATGCTGTATCCTGAGATGCTTTGCATGATCGCCGGGGCTATCATTTTTTGGATAATAATGATGTTCCATGAGTACGGAAGTTGTATATGGTATAAACTCAATGGCTGTTGCACACCCAAACCAACGGGTTCGATTGAGGATCCCAAAGTGGCTAAGGAGGCAGAAAAAATAAAAAATTTGGATACAGAAAAGAGAGAAAGCCGGGCATTAGTCGTAGATGAGGTGTCCAAACAATACTGCTGCGGCCCGCTAGCAGTGAATAATATTTCCTTCACTCTTAAACCGTAAGAAACTTATTACCTCGTGGAGTCTTAAGTAATAAATTTCTGTATACTTTTTATGGTTGACTCTAATTGATACCGGCAGTCAAAACTGATCATCTTAATTGATCTCCAATTAAAAAATTTGTCTCTTAAAAGCTGTGTGTCACCCTAAACTCGGTGAAAGCTGGGACCTTTTAAACAAATTTTGTTCTGAAACACAATTTTGAACTATTCAACTAAATAATATACATTTTTTATTTATTTCATATATTATGTATTGCATTTTATATTGCATTATAGCTTCGATGTTTTTAAAAATAATTCTAAATATTTTGTTACCATTGCAGGGGTATTATAATTCAGTCAAAAGCATGCAACGCAGTGAAGGAGACTTTTCTGACCTTATAAAGTATATATATTCTTAATGAACATCACCAGGAGAGTCGATCTAGCCATGACCGTCCCTCATTCCGACTCTCCGTCCGTCCGTCCCTTTCTACGCAAACTAGACCCTCAGTTTTAAAGCTATATGCTTAAAACTTTCCCAAAAGTTGTCTTTCTATTGCAGGTAGTATATAAGTCGGAACGAATATATCATATAGCTCTCATAGGAACAATCAGAAAAAAAAAATTTTTTAAGTATAACGTTGTTGCTTTTACTTTTTTTTGTTCTTGGGGATTTGGTAATTTTTAAAAACTATTGAATTAAATTAAAAATTAAATTAAAATTGAACATCTATATCAAAAGGCTCCTATAGAAAAATAAAAAAATTGAAAATAAAATTAAAACAAAAATTTATTTTGCTGTTTTTCTATTTATCAAAATATTCCTTTGAGGTGTAGTAATAATTTACTATATCAGAATTACGAATTATCATATAGCTGCAATAAAAACGATGGCAAAATTGGACCACAAAATCGATATAGCTTCATTGTTTTTGTAATTTAGGCATTGAAATCGAAATGTAGTCGTTTTGTAATAACTGCAAGGGTATATAAACTTCGGATTGCCGGAGCCTGCTTTATTTCTTGTTATACCCTTGCAGAGGGTATTATAATTTTGGTCAAAAGTGTGCAACGCAGTGAAGGAGACGTCTCCGACCCTATAAAGTAAATATATTCTTGATCAGGATCACCTCCTGAGTTGATATAGCCATGTCCGTCTGTCCGTCTGTCCGTCTGTCTGTTTCTACGCAAACTAGTCTCTCAGTTTTAAAGCTATCGAATTGAAACTTTGCACACACCCTTCTTTCCTTTGCACGCAGTATATAAGTCGGAACGGCCGGGATCGGCCGACTATATCCTATAGCTGCCATATAACTGATTGATCGGAAATGCCATAACTTTCGTGTTTGTAAAGTTAGGAAGTTGAGATTTTCTATGGGTTTTATATTTGGCCAATCAATCCGACTCACCAAATTTCATATGGATCGGCCGACTATATCCTATAGCTGCCATATAACTGATTGATCGGAAATGCCATAACTTTCGTGTTTGTAAAGTTAGGAAGTTGAGATTTTCTATGGGTTTTATATTTGGCCAATCAATCCGACCTACCAAATTTCATAAGGATCGGCCGACTATATCCTATAGCTGCCATATAACTGATTGATCGGAAATGCCATAACTTTCGTGTTTGTAAAGTTAGGAAGTTGGGATTTTCTATGGGTTTTATATTTGGCCAATCAATCCGACCTACCAAATTTCATAAGGATCGGCCGACTATATCCTATAGCTGCCATATAACTGATTGATCGGAAATGCCATAACTTTCGTGTTTGTAAAGTTAGGAAGTTGGGATTTTTTATGAGTATTAAGAATGCATTATATGAATAATTTTGGAGAATATAATTTACAGAGTATTCTGCAAGGGTATATCAACTTCGGCTCCGCCCGAAGTTAGCTTTCCTTTCTTGTTTTTAAATCTTTTCAGTTTTATTAAAAGAACGACTTTATTAATCTGCCCAAAGTAAAGATACGTAATTGATATTTTTCAGCCACTTCTGTTTAGGACTGCTTGGACCCAATGGAGCCGGAAAGACAAGTACATTCAAAATGATCGTCGGCGAGCAATCGATAGACAGAGGAAATATATATATTGCAGGATATAGCATGAAAAAAAAACGCAGAAAGGCGATGAAGGAACTTGGTTACTGTCCTCAGTTTGATTCGTTCTTTGAATTTTTTACTGGTCGTCAGATGGTCAAGTTTTTCCTGCAGTTACGTGGCACTGAAAGCAAGAAGCTGAAGGTGCGATCTGAGCAACTGGCGGATCAGTTCGGATTCAGAAAGCACCTGGATGAAAAAGTAGGGTGTCTGAAATATGATGGATTTTAAGATCCATCCATATACAATAAATCTTTTAATTTTTATATTCATCCCCAGATTAAGTACTACAGTGGCGGTACAAAACGAAAAATCAACGCGGCAGATGCGTGTGGAGCGAAATCTCTTATTTGTCTGGATGAGCCCAGTGCAGGAGTGGATCCTGCCTCGCGACGTCACGTTTGGAACATTATCGACGAGACGGCCAGCAAAGGGAAAGCAGTACTTCTGACCTCCCACAACATGGACGAGATAAATGCCCTCTGCTCGAAGAGCGTTATCCTGGTAAACGGTAGCATTTACGCCATGGGATCGAATCAGCACGTTAAAAGCAAAATTGTCAATAGACTGGCACTCAAGTTGGTTGTAAATGTTAAGACGGATGAGTAAGTTCTAAGCCAGTCACCTCCATTTCGAGTAACCTTTGACCGTCTTTTCCAGTATGAATAGAGTGCTTCTTAAGATTGAGGATGAGCTAACAGAGACCTTTCCCAACGCAAGTCTAAAGTAAGTATGCGTCCGAGATACATCAAAAATTAAGTGGACGTAAACTTACCTGCATATATCAGAGATTTTAACTACCGCGACTTGGAAAAGAACTGTTCAATATTGCTCTATTCACTAACGAAAATTCAACTTGAACAGAAACACTTTATGTCTAAAACATCAGATGAAAATAACTATATCATAGAAAAATATTTAATCCTTTTGTGATATAGAAGGTTAGAACAACCAAACAAAAGATACATTTTTCCTTTATTTTTCTAGAGAAAAGTACGAGTTTAGTGGAAGGCTAACTTTTCAAATTCCCGAAGAGGGCAGCAGCTGGTCAAAGATTTTTGATTTCGTCGAAAGTAATCGTGGTTCCTGGCAGTTGGCCGACTACTCCATATCACAGCCATCCTTTGAGGATGTATTCGAAGAGATTGCCGAAGAGGGAAAACGAAAGAGGAGGATGTAGAGATTTTAAAATATCCGGAAAAAAAAAAATTTAAAATTTTGAAATGCGTGAAATACATTTGAAAAATAAGTTTTGTTCCTTGTTTACTCGGAAAACTTAATCGTACCGATAACAAAAAATGATTTGATTGGTTGTGTTCTTTGTGGGGATATCCCAATGTGGACAAATGTTTATAGCAAGCTCGATAGAAAAATAGCGGCAGTTAGGAAAACAGATCACACTTGTGGGAGTGACTTTTCGAACTCATTCAGAATGACCTTTTACATTGATATTGCATAGTATGAAGTTCCGACCAGCAATTTTTTTTTCGATTTCTACTCGATATTTGGACTATTAACACCAACACTTGCAAACAGCTATACCTTTTTATACAATTTTTAGAGCATGGAGAGCTTGTACATTTGTAACGTTAATTTCGTTTGTTAATTTCAATGACCCATGGTAATTTTTGTACTTCCGTGTCCTGTAAGCAACCCCCTTTTTAGGGATAGGTCGGAAAGAGTGCCCCAGCTAGTAACTTATGATGTGGAAGAATTCTATTAAGTTTCGTCCTTGCTGACCCGTAGTCATTTGACCCTTCCAGCAAAGGCTACAAAGGTAACTTCGAGGTACGTCTCTTTTTCTTCCTGCTTAAACTTATTCCCATCTAGGTAGAAGCTTCGCGAACGGCCAAGACGAAGAGCAAACTTCCAGTAATGCAAGAATGACACACTGCCCTTTTTGAGTTACTCGACAAAAGCGGCATTAGCTTGTAGACCAGTCCTTCCTGCCAAACTAGTAAGCAGTTGAACATAGGTCCGAAAGAAATTAATTTACGGATTTCAGAGACATTCCCTCCCCTCCCATATTTTCGACATACTACACAAATTATTTGCACTTGATAAGACAATTTTGTATTAAAATATTAATATATCCCAGCTCCATTATTGTGTTATCACTCGTTTTCACTTATCCAGCGTTTTTCCAATTCTCCGTTACAGTATATTGTCCAGGAAAAGGAGCTCCAGCTCAAGGAGACATTGCACTTACTGGGAGTAGGCTCCGGCTTGCAGTGGCTGACCTGGTACGTCCAATCGTTCATTATTCTCCTCATATGATCGACGGTTTTAACGCTATGCTGGAAAGTCGTGCTTCCGAATTCGGAGATATCCTTCTTGCCATTCACCCACTGGTCACTAGTTCTGTTCGTTTTGCTCGTGCTCGGCCACTGTTGGATCTGCTTCAGCTTCCTGATGAGTAGCCTGCTCTCCACAACGAGCCTACTTCCTCTGATCACTGTCCTTTCTGTGCTTGCCACACAATTTCCCTATTCCTTTTTGCACTCGGTTGGTTGTCCGCTGGGCCTGAACGCTTTCATCAGTCTTTTCCTATTGTCTGGTTACACCTTGTTGGTCGACGGCGTCTGCAATTGGGATTTCTATGGTGTGGGCCTGCAGTGGGATAATCTGTTCGAGATCGCGTGGCCAGGCGACACTATCAGCGTTGGCCATATCCTGCTGATCATGCTTTTGGCCAGTTTTGTGTCCCTGCTTATCTGTCTGTACATGGAGCAAATCCGGCCAGGTACTTACGGAGTACCCCGTCCCTGGCATTTCCCCTGCTCCTGCTGCTGCCCCACCGAAAACCTGCTGCCCTACAAGCGGCTCTTCTACAGGTGTCTCGGGATAAATAGGGCTGCTCCGGATGTGGAACGACCCGAAGTCGAACTGATTGAGGCAGATCCTGAGGGCAAATCAGCCGGCGTTCAGATAATAGGCCTCAGCAAGACCTTTGGCAAAATGGAGGCTGTGAAGAACATCAGTTTCGATATGTTCGAGGACCAGGTTACTGTGCTGATGGGGCACAATGGAGCCGGCAAGACCACGCTGATCAGCATGCTGGCTGGATTCATTCCTCCCACTTCGGGCACGGCTCTGGTAAATGGCTATGATATCCAGAGGGAGCCCCGGCAGGCCCGGAGTTGCATAGGCCTGTGTCCGCAGCAGAACGTCCTCTTTAAGCACCTCAGCTCGGTCAGCCACATTTGGCTCTTAAGCCGGCTCCGAGGACTCACAGGTGCGGAGGTCAAGGCCGAGGTGGACAAGTACCTGGAGCAGCTCAACCTGAAGGGGAAGAAGAAAGCGGCAGCCCGGAATCTATCCGGCGGAAACCCACCGGCGGCTGAATGTGGTTTGTGCCTTTTGCGGGGGCGTCAAGGTAGTCTTAAATAATTTTATTAAACAGAGCCAAAAATATTCAAATTGTAACAATTAATTTTTAAAATATTTTTCGTTCCTACGTGACCAGCTTAAGCGTGTGACAGTTAAGTAATGTAACGTTGATGACTTAAAAAGTCTTTATTGTTAAAATGTTGATAACTTGTTAAGAAATAACTTGAGGACTAAATTTAATAGATTACCGCATGCTAAAATACTAAACTGATGACATTAGCTAGAAGAATACAAAAACTCTTGTTGCGCCAAAAACTTAATTTGTAAATAGTTACTGTAGTTATTAGTTATTTCTTAAGGTATTTAAGTATTTAATTATACCCGTTACTCGTAGAGTAAAAGGGTATTCGTGCAAAAGTATGTAACAGGTAGAAGGAAGGGTTTCCGACCCTATAAAGTATATATATTCTTGTTCAGGATTTCTAGCCGAGTCGATCTAGCCATGTCCGTCTGTCCGTCTCTCCGTCTGTCTGTCCGTATGAACGCCGAGATCTCGGAAACTATAAAAGCTAGAAGATTGGCATTTTGCATGTAGATTTTAGGAGTTCCTACGCAGCGCAAGTTTGTTTCAAAATGGTGCCACGCCCCCTCTGACGCCCACAAGCCACAAGCTGTGGCCACAGTTTTTATGCTATTATGAAAAATTTAATTGATATGTATTTGTTTCGTCAATACCTATCGATTTGCCTAATAAAAGTTTGCCACGCCCACTCTAACGCCCAAAAACCCATTAAACCCAAACAGTGCGCAATACAATAGCGCCACCTAACGGATGATTTTGGAACAGCTGGCCAAGGTGCTAATTCGAGCGGCGAAAAACATACAAGAAGGCAAATTTATATTAAGTTGTTTAGCTGAGTAACGGGTATCTAATAGTGGAGGCACTCGACTATAGCGTTCTCTCTTGTTTTATTTTTGGTTTCGGGAAATTTTATTATTTTTACAACAGCAATAACTCGGTTTTTGTGCGAAAATCGAGATTTTTCAAGTGCCTCAAAAATCGGAAAATAAAAACTAGTCAGCGTTACCTGGGAAAATTTGCCCTTTAAATAATGCAATTTGATTATTTCAATTCAGAGTATTTTGTAATTAGTTGCGATGTACACCGCAAACCACCTTTTTTTTGGATGTGCCAAAACAAAAACAAAAACTTTACTGAGTCTATCGTATCGCCAACAAAAATTCATAAAAAATTAACTATCACTGAAAGCATTACCAAATCTTGATGTTAATACAGTGATTCAATGGTGGTGGGAACTGTGGAAACTAATCGTGAATGTTTATACCCTTGCAGAGGATATTATAATTTTGGTCAGAAGTTTGTAACGCAGTGAAGGAGACGTTTCCGACCCTATAAAGTATATATATTCTTGATCAGGATCAATAGGGGAGTCGATATAGCCATGTGCGTCTGTCCGTCTGTTTCAATACCGTTTGCGAGCTCAGTTTAAAAACTAGCGATCTGAAACTTTCACAGTCGTCCTAAAACATGTGTACGCAGATCAAGTTTGAAAACCGCCCCGATCGGATGTCTATATCCTATAGCTCCCATAGGAACAATCGGATATAACTTGCAAGAATGGAAGATATTTCGCGCAGTGTAAAAGCTATTGCCATGAATCTTTCTAAATCGTATTTTTTTATGCATACCTTGATCTGGGTAAAAACGCGTGCCTATCGGACGAAGGTATATACGAGTATTTATAAATCGCGGTCCATCGGAAAAGTCTCTTTAATTGCGTTACAAAATTATCTTTAAAAGTTTAATTAACTTAACTGTAAGATAAAATATTATATTCGGTTTACAAGTTTCTCAAATCCTGGCGAAAACAAATCAAAGTGGCTTAGAGTTTAGTGATTTATATATTCACACACTATTTGGATTCGATAAACCTGTTTCTCCTTTTCGATCTTAACTCATAAATTATGGCTGTCCACAAAGCTCCAAACTGCCTTATACAATTACTGCTGCTGGTGTGGAAAAACTTTTCAATGCTTCTCGGACGGAAATGCTATATGATGGGCCTTATAATTTTCTTTGCTATCATTCCTCTAATATTAATGTCACTTAGGCTTATACCTTTACTAAGAAGGAAGCCACAAATTCGTGGACCAATACCAACTTTTGGGCTTCATGGCCGAATTCCGTAAGTCCTCTTAAGTCTCCTCTATCTTAATATACATTTTTTATTTTTCTCTAAATAGTTCTAACATTTATTTTTCGCCACAAGCTCCATTACTTGAGGCGCTTGTGAAAGAAATAAACGGTAGCAAAATCACAGCTTTCCAAAATTCTCGAAAACTTCAAGAAGCGTTAGTCGATTTTCCTGATGAGAACGATGTTGTGATTGGAATTGATTTTGCCGAAGGCTGGACCGAATGGCCAGACCAATTATCGTTCGTACTCCGTGTCCCCAAGCTATCTGCTTCAGATGATGACATGTTTGGACTGTTTGGATCTTACTCATATTATGAAAACGGCTTCTTAGCCGTACAGCAGGCATTGAGTAAAGCACACATTAATCACAAGTGTAAGCAGTTGAACAAGTGTCCGAAGGAAATTAAGTTTCCGGAGTTTAGAGACCTTCCATCCCCTCCCATTTTTGCGACAGTCTACACAAATTATTTGCAAACCATAGGACAATTTTTCATTGAAATGATTGCATGTTTCGTGGTCGTTACTTTGACAAAGGTATGGGCAATCGAAGCTGCATTATTGCGTTGTCACTCGTTTTCACTTATCCAGCGTTTTTCCAATCTCCGTTACAGTATATTGTCCAGGAAAAGGAGCTCCAGCTCAAGGAGACATTGCACTTACTGGGAGTAGGCTCCGGCTTGCAATGGCTGGCCTGGTACGTCCAATCGTTCATTATTCTCCTTATAGGATCGGCGGTTTTAACGCTATGCTGGAAAGTCGTGCTTCCGAATTCGGAGATATCCTTCTTGCCGTTCACCCACTGGTCACTAGTTCTGTTCGTTTTGCTCGTGCTCGGCCACTGTTGGATCTGCTTCAGCTTCCTGATGAGTAGCCTGCTCTCCACAACGAGCCTACTTCCTCTGATCACTGTCCTTTCTGTGCTTGCCACACAATTTCCCTATTCCTTTTTGCACTCGGTTGGTTGTCCGCTGGGCCTGAACGCTTTCATCAGTCTTTTCCTATTGTCTGGTTACACCTTGTTGGTCGACGGCGTCTGCAATTGGGATTTCTATGGTGTGGGCCTGCAGTGGGATAATCTGTTCGAGATCGCGTGGCCAGGCGACACTATCAGCGTTGGCCATATCCTGCTGATCATGCTTTTGGCCAGTTTTGTGTCCCTGCTTATCTGTCTGTACATGGAGCAAATCCGGCCAGGTACTTACGGAGTACCCCGTCCCTGGCATTTCCCCTGCTCCTGCTGCTGCCCCACCGAAAACCTGCTGCCCTACAAGCGGCTCTTCTACAGGTGTCTCGGGATAAATAGGGCTGCTCCGGATGTGGAACGTTCCGAAGTCGAACTGATTGAGGCAGATCCCGAGGGCAAAACAGTCGGCGTTCAGATAATAGGCCTCAGCAAGACCTTTGGCAAAATGGAAGCTGTGAGGCACATCAGTTTCGATATGTTCGAAGACCAGATTACGGTGCTGATGGGGCACAATGGAGCCGGCAAGACCACGCTGATCAGTATGCTGGCTGGATTCATTCCTCCCACTTCGGGCACGGCTCTGGTAAATGGCTATGATATCCAGAGGGAGCCCCGGCAGGCCCGGAGTTGCATAGGCCTGTGTCCGCAGCAGAACGTCCTCTTTAAGCACCTCAGCTCGGCCAGTCACATATGGTTCTTTAGCCGGCTCCGGGGACTCAGAGGTGCGGAGGTCAAGGCCGAGGTGGACAAGTACCTGGAGAAGCTCAACCTAAAGGGGAAGAAGAAAGCGGCAGCCCGGAATCTATCAGGCGGAACCCAGCGGCGGCTGAGTGTCGCATGTGCCCTCTGCGGGGGCGTCAAGGTACTCTTAAATAATTTCATTAAATATCCCCAAGGATTTAAATTTCAACAACTAATTTCTATAAGTATTTTATGGTCAAATCGCCCCCTACTTAAATGCAAGCTTTTATGATTTTATAGCTAACATTTCGATAAGTTGTCGATAAATTACTATAATATATTTTTTCTTGCTTCTATATTTATACTCTTGTAGAGGGTATTAACATATAATTTTGGTCAGAAGTTTGTAACGCAGTGAAGAAGATATTTCCGACCCCATAAAGTATATATATTCTTGATCAGGATCAATAAAGGAGTTGATATAGCCATGTCCGTCTGTCCGACTGTCCGTCTGTCCGTCCGTCCGTCCGTCCGTCCGTCTGTCCGTCCGTCCGTCCGTCCGTCCGTCCGTCCGTCTGTCCGTCCGTCCGTCCGTCTGTCCGTCCGTCCGTCCGTCCGTCTGTCCGTCCGTCCGTCCTCGTCCGTCCGTCCGTCTGTCCGTCCGTCCGTCCGTCCGTCCGTCCGTCCGTCCGTCCGTCCGTCCGTCCGTCCGTCCGTCTCGTCCGTCCGTCCGTCCGTCCGTCCGTCCGTCCGTCCGTCCGTCCGTCCGTCCGTCCGTCCGTCCGTCCGTCTGTCCGTCTGTCCGTCTGTTTCAATACCGTTTGCGAGCTCAGTTTAAAAGCTAACGATCTGAAACTGTCACAGTCATCCTAATACATGTGTACCCGGATCAAGTTTGAAAACCGCCCCGATCGGATGTCTATATCCTATAGCTCCCATAGGAACAATAGGATGTAACTTGCAAGAATTAAAGATATTTCGCGCAGTGTAAAAGCTATTGACGGGCAACTTTCCAAATCGTATTTTTTTATGCATCCCTTGATCAGGGTAAAAGCGCGTGCCGATCAGACGTCTATATCCTATAGCTTCCATAGAAATACAAGCTATTTACATCAATTTTATATAATTACAAAAAAAATAATTTATGTTTCGCCCAGTGTATAAGCTTTTAACATCATTTTTTTAAGTCTGCAAGGGTATTAAAACTTCGGCTTGCCAAAGTTAGCTTCCGTCCTCGTTTTGAATTGTTCCTCCAAAAGTTGATTTGTAGCGTTTTGTCACTAGCCATGGTATTTCTTTAAATAGAATGTGGTTTATACACCCAGGTACTTATTTGCGACGAGCCCAGCACAGGATTAGATCCCGGTGCCCGGCGGGAACTGTGGAAACTAATCCTGGAGGCAAAGAAGGGTTGCACTGTTATGCTGACCACCCACCAGTTGGATGACGGGGAGGTCCTGAGCGATCGCATGGTCATTATCAGCGATGGGCAGGTGCGCTGCATTGGATCGCTGCCCTTCCTCAAGAAACAGGTGGACGCCAGTTGCCTGCTCACCTGCGAAACCAGGAAACGATGTGACGTGGACAAGCTGACTTCATTGATATCCCTTCATGTGGGCAGTATCATCCCTTTCAGCATCATGGGTCGTGATGTTTGCTACAAGCTGCCGTTAAGTAAGTCAATTTCGTTTTCCCGGATGTTCCGGGACTTAGAGCATCAGAAAAATGATCTGAAGGTTCGTGGATTCGGCATGAGTTCTGTGGGTTTGGAGGAGATTTTCATGAGCTTCGGGGAGGAGGAGCGCGATTCCCGGAATTCTGGCGGGGCTGAGAAAAATGACGAGGCCGACGACGATGTTGAGAATGAGGATTATGACCAAGAAGAAAGTGAACCCAATTGCGGAAGCCAGTGGAGGGCGATGATGATCAAGAAGTATTTGTCTTTCTTTGAGAACAAGGTAATGAGCGGAAATACTTGCATATTTTAATAAAAAAGCTTATAAATGACCTAATGCTATTGCTACTTGAGCTTAGCTATCCGTTACGCATAGAGTCATAATCTCGGAAACTTGTCAAGCATGACGGCTCTTTGTGATGATTGCATTCTCTTTTTATACCCTTACAAAGGGATTATAATTTTGGTCAAAAGTATACATATTCTTGATCAGGATCGCGTCCTGAGTTTATATAAGCATGTCCGTCTGTCCGTTTCTACGCAAACTAGTCTCTCAGTTTTAAAGATATCGAATTGAAACTTTGCACACACCCTTCTTTCCTTTGCCCGCAGTATATAAGTCGGAAAGGATTTTCTATGGGTTTTATTTTTGGCTAATCAATTCGACCTACCAAATTTCATAAGGATCGGCCGACTATATTCTACAGCTGCTATATAACTGAACGATTGGAAATGCCATAACTTTGGTGTTTTTAAAGTTAGGAAGTTGTGATTTTTTATGAGTATTAAGAACGCATCATATGAATAATTTTGGAGAATACAATTTACATAATAATCTGCAAGGGTCTTTCAACTTCGGCTCCGCCCGAAGTTAGCTTTCCTTTCTTGTTCTACTATGATTTTACATTATGACTTTACAGGGGATAACTGTGCTTTTACTTCTTGTTTCATCCATATTGTAACTAGGTTTACTTCGTGCTGCTTTTGTTAATTCCCATTGTCTACTATCTGTCGACGCTAATAAGTGCTACGGATCCCCAGAATTTGCCCAGAGTGAGCATGAATGTCCAAGAGTACGGTAGCTACGGGGTCAGCATTTTGGTTTCAGATCCCGAAAGATCCGGAGAAATGAGCCCTGCATATTATACCATCGCTAGATTGGCCGGAACAAACGTTGTGGTGAAGACAATAGATGAGCCTATGGAGGAGTATGTGAAGAACGCCTGGGCGACACCAGAGGGAAAACATGAGATTATGTTCATGCCGATGGCTGTCGAACTAGCAAGCCCTCTAGTCGGGTGGGTCGGGCCCAGACACTTTCTTTATGCGGCGCCCATGACCCTCAATCTCGTCTACAATGTGATGGCCCACGAGCTCCTCGGCCCCGAAATCAGACTGAAGGTGACCAGCGCTCCATACCAGAAGAGGAGCACCGTCTTAAATTTGTTTATCGACGATAGAACATTGCGGTTCCAAACGTACGTGATGTGTTATGTGGGCTTGGCAATGATCCTGTTCTCACATTTGATTATCCAAGAGAGGGACTCGCATATGAAGATGCAGCAGGAGGTGTCCGGACTGAGCATGGTCACTTATTGGCTGAGCCACCTGGTGTTCGACATGCTGGTCTATTCAATATTGGCGCTGGCTCTGCTGCTACCACTCTACAACTATGCGCCCTGGTACAATTTGCTGACTTTGCTCCTCTTCCTTGGACTGACGTCGCTAATCTTCGTGTACTTCTTGACATTGGTGCTTTCGGCCACACTTCTAGCTGTGACCTTGGTTTTACTTTCGGGTATGGCCATAGATCTGAGTGGATTATATTTGCTTTGGCAAAACTATAACATATATTGAAACAAATACTGCACCGATGGCGTAGACCTACAGTTTAAAAAAATATGTAAGATCAACAATTTACTTGTTAAAATCAGACTAGGGCCACTATTCAATGGCCCCAAAAAACCAACTAAAAATACCTTTAAATTTTTAAAAATAATACAGTAATCCTTTTTCTATGTTGATTTTACATATGTTTATACCCGTTACTCGTAGAGTAAAAGGGTATATTGTATTCGTGCAAAAGTATGTAACAGGTAGAAGGAAGCGTTTCCGACCCTATAAAGTATATATATTCTTGTTCAGGATCACTAGCCGAGTCGATCTAGCCATGTCCGTCTGTCCGTCTGTCTGTCCGTCTGTCTGTCCGTCCGTATGAACGCTGAGATCTCGGAAACTATAAAAGCTAGAAGATTGGCATTTTGCATGTAGATTTGAGGAGTTCCTACGCAGCGCAAGTTTGTTTCAAAATGGTGCCACGCCCCCTCTGACGCCCATAAGCCACAAGCTGTGGGCACAGTTTTGATGATATTATGAAAATTTTAATTGATATGTATTTGTTTCGTCAATAAATATCGATTGGCCTAATAAAAGTTTGCCACGCCCACTCTAACGCCCAAAAACCCATTAAACGCATTAGCCTGGCTAGCACCTATGACTTTGGAACTGCTGACCAAGGTGCTCAACAGAGTCAACGCTAATTCTCGATAAGGATTTCTATTAAAGGAAATTGCGATGGTTTTCATTTGTCAATACCGAACTATATCCCAAGAACTATGCAAATCAAATCTAGTTACCCAAATTGGAGGTCTGAGTCAAACAATGGCGTATGTGTGTATTTATGTAAGCATTTACATATGTATGTATTTACATTGTACACAGTTGCAATTGCCCGGCAATTATAATATTAAGTTGTTTAGCTGAGTAACGGGTATCTAATAGTCGAGGCACTCGACTAAAGCGTTCTCTCTTGTTTTTATTGTGTATAACCAGACTTTTCAAATGTATTTTGCGTTCCACTAGAAATCCAAAGCGTATGTAACTATTATTTAACTAATAACATTATATTATTAACATTAAAAGAAGGCTATGCTATTAATTCAACGTTTAAAACTAAAAACTAGTTTGTGCCTAAGCAAATTTCCATTCGGATACGTGTTGACGTTGAATTTCTACCAAAAATGTTCTTTTTCCAGGTATCCTGGCATTTTATTTGATTCAACTTGTTGGAGAGCAGGCGCTTATATATAATGTTATATATATAGTTATATGTATTGCTTACCTGACTCCTTTGGTAGCTGGTTATTATTGCCTGGCCAAATGCTTCCAGTTCAGTACCTTGTGCGCTGATTCTAATTTTGAATCTGAAGATCCAGACCTTGCCTTTTTGAAAAATGTGAGTTGCGTCAACCCTATGGCTGTTGAATCAGCAGGATGTGTGTGTAAAAGTGAGTCTTGAGAATAGTAAGTGTCTACCTTAATTTGAGATTATATTGGCAGATCTGATGCTGTATCCTGAAATGCTTGGCATGATTGCTGGAGCTATTATTTTTTGGACAATAATGATGTTCTATGAGTACGGAAGCTGTATATGGTACAAATTCAAAGGTTGTTGCACACCCAGCCCAATGGGTTCGATTGAGGATCCCAAAGTTGCAAAGGAGGCAGAAAAAATAAAAAATATGGATGCAGAGCAGATAGAAAGCCGGGCACTAGTCGTAGAGGAAGTTTCTAAAAAATATAGCTGCGGCCCGCTGGCCGTGAATAACATATCCTTCGCTCTTAAACCGTTAGTAACTTATTTTGGTCAAATTAAAATTACAAGAAGGATACCCTGTTTCGACTTATATGCTACCAGTTATATAGACAAAAGACTTTTGGGAAAGTTTTATTCAAATGGATCGGACGGTTTTATCATATAGTTGCCATAAAAATAGCTAAAAAATTAATTTTTAATTAGTTGATTACTTTTTATAATAAAGCTTATAATACAAGATGTATAATTTTTTTTATATACGGTTTTATTTTTTCACAAATCGACGAATATATAGTTGCCATAGAAACAAGAAAGGAAAGCTAACTTCGGGCGGAGCCGAAGTTGAAATACCCTTGCAGAATATTCTGTAAATTATATTCTCCAAAATTATTCATATGATGCATTCTTAACATCATAAAAATCTCAACTTCCTAACTTTACAAACACCAAACTTATGGCATTTCCGATCGTTCAGTTATATGGCAGCTATAGGATATAGTCGGCCGATCCCGGCCGTTCCGACTTATATACTGCGTGCAAAGGAAAGAAGGATGTGTGCAAAGTTTCAATTCGATATCTTTAAAACTGAGAGACTAGTTCGCGTAGAAACAGACAGACGGACAGACAGACGGACAGACAGACGGACAGACAGACGGACAGACGGACATGCTTATATCAACTCAGGAGGTGATCCTGATAAAGAATATATATACCTTATGGGGTAAGAGATGTCTCCTTCACTGCGTTGCACACTTTTGACCAAAATTATAATACCCTCTGCAAGGGTATAAAAACGGAAGAGAAATAGGAAATCGACATATACGCATATAGCTCGAGATATAGTTATGCAATTTATAATATAATATATAATAATATATTATATTATAAAAATCGAATAGAAATGATAAACAATTTTTATATTTTAATGTACGCATTGAAATAAAGGTATATAATTATTATTCATGATGTAGTCGTTTATATAAAAATATTTTTTGTTATAAATGCAAGGATATTCGGCTTGCCGATAAGCTTTCTTTCTTGTCAAATAAAAGCTCCAAGTGTCTCTTAACACCATAACACCTCGAATTATTAAAAAACTCTCATTCAGTTACTCCAATTTAAATATATATTAAGCAAATTATTTGTTTTAGTCAATCGCCTTATATAAGTTATATTGTTTTTAAAGAAATATGGAAATTCAATTAACCTCAGAAAATCTGCATTTTTTGTTTTGGTTATTTGTAAAATCGAGCTCAGAAAAGCTCAATAAATTTGGTTTTTATACCCTTGCAGAGTCAAAAGTTTGCAACGCAGTGATGGAGACATTACAGACCCGTCTGTCCGTCTGTCCGTCCGTCCGTCCGTCCGTTTCTACGCAAACTAGTCCCTTACTTTTAAACCTATCTGCTTGAAACCTTCCCAAAAGTTGTCTTTCTATTGCAGGTAGTATATAAGTCGGATATAACTGAACGATCGGAAAAGCGATAACTTTGGTGTTTTTAAAGTTAGGAAGTTGGGATTTTCTGTGGGTTTTATTCCTGGCCAATCAATCCAAATTTCATAAGGATCGGCCGACTATATCTTATAGCTGCCATATAACTGAACGATTGGATATGTCATAGCTTTGGTGTTTTTAAAGATAGGAAGTTGGGACTTTTTATGAGTATTAAGAATGCATCATATGAATAATTTTGGAGAATATAATTTACAGAATATTCTGCAAGGGTATATCAACTTCGGCTCCGCCCGAAGTTAGTTTTCCTTTCTTGTTTGATTTAAGGTATTTCTTATTTATTGAAGAGCATACTTTTAAAAAACAAAGATACTTAAGATTTGAAATTTATTTAAATTAATTTTATATTTCCAAATCACTTGATGTGAACAACAAAAGAATGTTCTATAATAAATTCAACCCTAGTCTGTAAGATAATAACTACTTTGGAGTTAAACAAATTAAGAGTCGTATCCTTAAAGCAGTGAATGTATTTTCGTCATCAGGTCTACAGAGTTCTTAATTTTGAATTCAAAAGTAAACACCCATGACACTCTTCCTTATTACATTTTTTTGTCAACAATTTGAAATTCAGTGACTTTTCCGACCTCAAAACTGATATATTCTTGTTTCGTCTGTCCGTTTATAAAACTCTTTGATGTTAAGCGCGCCAATAAACGATGGTCCCTTCTCTTAATGATGTCTTAAGTCAACACATTTAATTTAGTTATTTTTTCAGGCTGGGGTATCAAATATATACTAAGCGTAACATAATTTTTAAGAGAGTGTAATTAAACGACCGACAGAGTAATCTCCCTAAAGTAAAGCTAACTAATTGATATTTTCCAGCCACTTTTGTTTAGGACTTCTTGGACCCAATGGAGCCGGAAAGACAAGTACGTTCAAAATGATCGTCGGCGAGCAATCGATAGATAGAGGAAATATATATATTGCGGGCTATAGCATGAAAACGAACCGCAGAAATGCAATGAAGGAACTCGGCTACTGTGCTCAGTTTGATTCGTTCTTCGAATTTTTTACTGGCCGTCAAATGGTCAAGTTTTTCCTGCAGTTACGTGGCACTGAAACCAAAAAGCTGACGAAACGATCTGAGCAACTTGCTGATCAGTTCGGATTCAGAAAGCACTTGGATAAAAAGGTAAGTGTTATAAAATTTGATGAATGGCAAAATAGTTCTTTGGAACAAAATTGGTAATTTATTCGTTCGCAGATTAAGTACTACAGTGGCGGTACAAAACGAAAAATCAACGCGGCGGTTGCTTGTGGAGCGAAATCTCTTATTTGTCTGGATGAGCCCAGTGCAGGAGTGGATCCTGCCTCGCGACGTCACGTTTGGAACATTATCGACGAGACGGCCAGCAAGGGAAAAGCAGTACTTCTGACCTCCCACAACATGGACGAGATAAATGCCCTTTGCTCGAAGAGCGTTATCCTGGTAAACGGTAGCATTTACGCCATGGGATCGAATCAGCACGTTAAAAGCAAAATTTGCAATAGACTGGCACTCAAATTGGTTGTAAACGTTAAAACGGATGAGTAGGTTCTGAGCCAGTCACCTCCATTTCGAGTAACCTCTTACCTTTTTTTGCAGCATGTCTAGAGCCCTTATTAAGATTGAGGATGAAGTAAAAAATACCTTTCCCAAAGCGATTCTTAAGTAAGTATCTGTTTTAAAAACATCAACAATTAGTTGGATGCAAGTCACTCCATTCCAACTTCTATTCACTTACAAAATTTAAACTATGTCAGCAAATTACAAACTCTGAAAATAGATTTTATTACCTGTGTAATCACACTGTAAAAATTACAATTTATAAAAAATATCCAATCATTGTGTCGTATAGAAACAATATCTCAATGCTGGGTTTTTATCAATTCGTCAATGTTTTATTTTTTATTCTTAGAGAAAACTACGAGTTCAGTGGGAGGATTACATTTGAAATCCCTGAGGAGGATAGCAGCTGGTCGAAAGTCTTTGATTTTGTCGAAGGCAATCGCGGTCCGTGGCAGCTGGCCGACTACTCTATACAACAGCCGTCTTTCGAGGATATATTCGAGGAGATTGGCAAACAGAGAAAATTTAACAAGAGGACCTTTATATAACTAGTTTTATATGCCATGAATTTATTATTTTTAGATTCATATGCTTATACTTTGTATCCAAAATTTATAATGAAATTTGTACTGCAGTGTATTACGACACGGGGTTTTTTATTCTCGACTGAACTTAACAGTTGTCTAATTTAACATTGCAGCACTTTAATCAAGACCGAAATTCCTACACATGTTTCAATTACACTACCTATCTCACATGAGGCGACAAATGTAACACATCATAAAACAAAATACACCTTACTCTCACTCTGCCATTCCACGCTCCCGGTTTTATTTTCATTCATTTTGTGGTGGCATTATGTTTTGGCTTATGCTGTGGGTGCGGGATGCTGCTGTAGCATTAATTAAATTTAATTAAAATGTGTCAACTGAGCTCGTAATAACAAATTCGTCTCACATCTGAATTACACCCCACGACCCTCCTGTTCAGCCCCATATCCATGCAAAACGGGACAACAGGAACGTTGTCAACACCAACAAAATGGCTCATTAAAAACTTTTATGCTGATGAGAAGAATGTAAAAACTTGGCCAAAGAAGTGTGGCCAAGGTAAATATGTATATGTGTGTGAGTGTAGTTAATTAGCGGCATAATAATGCAGATACGCAGTCCCATTCCTCCAGGTAATTTAAGATTACCTGCCCAGGTGGCACGCACTCTGGCACATTCGGTCTCATCTTCTTTCGCAAAATTTTCATCAACTGTTGCTTCTTCATTTCACCCTCAATGCCTAAGCCATGTGGAAGTATTTGAGAGAATTGTGGTAAACGGTTACTTTGCTCACACAAGTAAAAGTCACGAGTTATTTCACATTCATTTGAAATGTGAAATAATTATAATGAAAAATAAAATAAAGTCAAAAAAACAATTACTTTGGTATACCTCACATTAAGTATCAAAACACGCTTGATTCTGAAATTTCTTTGGTGTCCGTAACATGGGAAATCAAAAAAAAATGTCCTTCAGCTGAAACATTAAACAGATCTTTCAAGCAAATTTCGACCCTCAATTAGATCTCGGTGTCAGAGAATCGATTTAAAGTGAGAAATGACTACACCTTACCGAAAATCATTGGAAATTTCTATGACCACAAAGTATGCAATTGTATTTTATCTTAAACAAGAAAGGAAGCAAACTTCGGCAAGCCGAAGTTTATATACCCTTGCAGTTTTTACAAATCGACTACATTTCGATTCATATACCCTTGCAGAGGGTATTATAATTTTGGTCAAAAGTGTGCAACGCAGTGAAGGAGACATCTCCGACCCTATAAAGTATATATATTCTTGATCAGGATCACCTTCTGAGTTGATATAGCTATGTCCGTCTGTCCGTATGTCCGTCTGTCCGTCTGTCTGTTTCTACGCAAACTAGTCTCTCAGTTTTAAAGCTATCGAATTGAAACTTTGCACACACCCTTCTTTCCTTTGCACGCAGTATATAAGTCGGAACGGCCGACTATATCCTATAGCTGCCATATAACTGATTGATCGGAAATGGCATAACTTTGGTGTTTGTAAAGTTAGAAAGTTGGGATTTTTTATGAGTATTAAGAATGCATCATATGAATAATTTTGGAGAATATAATTTACAGAGTATTCTGCAAGGGTATATCAACTTCGGCTCCGCCCGAAGTTAGCTTTCCTTTCTTGTTATGCCTATATTACTAAAAACAATGTCGATTTTGCGCTGCATTTTGCCACCGTTTCTTTGGCAGCTATATGATATTGTTGTCCGATTTTAATTTAATTAAAACCGTATTTCCATAATATTTAAATGTTACCAAATCCCAAAGAACAGCAAAAAAAATTAAAAACAACAAACTTATAATTTTTTAAAATTGTTTTTCCGATTGTTCCTACGAGAGCTCGATCCGGCTCGTTCCGCCTTATATACTACCTGCAATAGAAAGATAACTTTTGGAAAAGTTTCAAGCATATAGCTTTTAAACTGAGGGGCTAGTTTGTCTAGAAACGGACAGACGGGCGGACAAACGGACATGGCTAGATCGACTTTCAGTTTTAAAGCTACCTGAATAAAACTTTCCTAAAAGTCTTCTTTCTTTGCAGGTTGTATCATTAACCATATTGAATGGTTATTGGTTGCTTATAAGTTGGAACTGTCGGATCGGACGGCATTGTCTTATAGCTCTCATTGAAACAATCGACATAAAAAATATAGCTTTGTTGATTTTCGATGTAAAAAAATATACTCCGAACAATCTCACAATTTGATTTTATAAAATTTGGAGGACTATATCATATAGCCGGCATAGAAACGATCAACAATTCATTGCGTTTTAGCATCAACGTAAAAAAATCGTTTTGTCTTATATTAAATTTTTGTAATAATTTCAACTTCATTTAAACTTCGGCTGCCTGAAGTTATCTTTTTTTCTGTTTATTAGTTAGTTAAAGATGACACAAATGTACACTATTCAGTGCGTTATTTATATTTCAATCTTTATAATAGTGTCATTCCAAGCTTTAGAATTCGCTGTGGCTAATAAGAACTAAGCTAATCACATTTGCCTTGAAATAGTGAAAACGCAATCAACGCTAAGATGGAAATCATTTAACCGTGACTTGCCACATCCCTATCATAGACTGTTGCACACTTTCTCGCGTATCCCTTTCACCCCGCAACCAAGTTGCCACAGATCCCCACCGCATCCCTAGGATAAACCTGCAACGGCACAAAAACACCCGTGGGTGTCGTTAATTGAAATTATTATACTTGTCTGTGGTATCATAAATGCGACTCGTTAAATTTGTATGTATGACACTCCGACGCACAGCCATAGTCAGGCGTGCATAATGCGTGGGTGGGTGTGTGGGAGTGGGCGTGTGGGTATATAGTATGTAGATATCCATCCGAGATATATGCAGCCCCATATCCTGCTCATTTCGCTCGTCCCCGATGTCGGGGGTCCATGGAGTGTCTCTTATTTGCATGGCGTCGTCATCGCTTCAGCGACAAAATGGAAATTTGTTGCCGCATTGCTCATGGCGTTGCCACGCCCCTTTCGCGCCCAACGCCCCCTCCCCAGGCACCCACTTTAGGAGCCCCCCGCCCACCTTTGGGCCACCCATGTGTGCGGCCGTTGTTGGTGTTTTAATGTGTCAAGTGTTTTATTTGCGCGTGTTACCTACTTTGATTTTATTTGCCCGCTCGCCAGGGAAACTACACTTGAAAATTAAAGTTATTGGTTCCAATTCATATATTTATGTAGCTTTTACCTTAACTATGTTAAATAAACTCATCATTACAATTAATTATATTTCAAACAAAAATAGAAACAAGTATTTATTAAAGCATACAAAGAGCGAAAATGTAATGAATATGTTTTATAATTTAACATAGTTATTTTGAAGCTGATGCTTACTGAGTGTTTGTTGTGAGATATTAAAAAAGGGATCTTCAGAAATTCTGTGACCCTAAAGTTCATATTTAATTTTTATATAGTAACACATTAATTTCCAACTTCGCAACTTGGAAATACGTATGAAGGAAATTCACCCTATCGATTCATAAATTCTTGCAGGTACGAGATCATTGTTTCGACTGCAGGAAAAGGCATGCCTGCTTCCAAAAACCCAACCGCCCTACATAAGGAGTAGGGGTAGGGGGATGGTGGTGTCAGGGCATTCCACTCGTGTATACCTCACTTGCTTTTATGTTTAATTCATGCGCAAATTGTCGCGGAAATCTGACGTCAAGTGTATTAAACGCCATGCTCTGCTTTTGATTTATGGACCCAGTTGGTGCCACTGCCATTTTGGGGCAATGGGGGAACCGGGATGGGAACCAGGGGTGTTGCCGCGGTACTGGCCGTCAATTCCAATAGCGAAATGAAATTGTTGCTAATTTATGAGCGAGTAAGCCATGGCCCTGTTCCAGACCCTGTCGCGGTCCAAAAATTCTTTGGCTGCTTAATGAGCTGCGACAGTTGTGACGATTTAAAATTCTACTTTAAAGTTAAACTGGCAAGGGGATTAAACGAATGGAAAGCTATAAATTGTATATCAATGGGTGGATAATTAAGGGGCATTGAAAGTTTCGCGAAGAAAGGTTTTGCCATTGCTGAGTGAAAACCAAATGTTAAGGACTCAGTTGTTTGTTGAAAATAAAAGAAGGAATCAATTTTTCAATCAAAAATACCTCGAACAAGTAAGTAGCAATTCAATTAATTACTCATAGGGTTTTTTTAGGGACAATTTTTATAAGTTTAGACCACTTTTATTCTCCATACCCTTTTATTTTAAAATCATTTTTCAATACCTTTTATTCATAAAAGAAGAACATTCATGTTGAGTAATAAAGTATTCCGAATGCCGCTACGGAATATATGAGGCAAATGGAAGCTGGGCATTCCCGAGACCCGAGATCGAGAAGTGTTACTTAGCTATCACTGTTTGTTCAAATAGGTCCAAAAAACATTCTGTTTTTAGAATAAGAAAACCGGTATTTGAATTCTTTTCATAAACTTATATCTCATTGCTTTAAAAGAATTGCATACGGTATAACGTGACTCTTAAAACACAAAAAGTCACGTTTTCGGTACATAAAATGATTTATTTCTAAGTACTTTTCAATAACCAAAATGTATTAACGAAAACTTTGTATCTTCAGTTAATCAATAAGATATTATATACTACCCCTGGCCCACCAATCTCCATATCACTTTTTGCATGAGGTCTTCTACAACAGCCCTATCAATAGAGCCCAATCTTGAGACCATTATGGCACCCATTCATCAACTCCTTGTGGTCAATCAACTAAGGAAGGATACTTAAGCTACCCATTTAAAATCAATTAACGCGACAATTTGGGCGAACACACCCCGAACACGACAAACGCTAATTATGCAACTGGCCAAACAAGCCGCTGAAGAATCTCGTAGATTGAAATCTGGTGTGCAGCCGATAGAGGAAAGTGTAGCTATCGCCCAGGGCTTGATGCTAATGGAGCTATAATTATGTGCCAATTATAAATGGATGAATCTAGAGAGGGAATCTGTGCAGGAGCGGAGGCCAAAGAACGGAACCTAAATGACGATTTCTTATATTGACACCTTTAAATTCT